AGGAAGCTGGAGACGTTCGTAGAAATTCTTTAGCTCTGCGGCAGCGTGTTGTTATTATGAAACCGTTTAGAGAACGTGTTTGTGAACACCACAGTAATTTGGTTAGATTACCAAGGCGACGGCGCTGACGCGGCGGCAACGTATGACGATGAATGCAATGTAAGCATATGGCATGGACCAGGGGAAGGTTGCTGGAGGTGGCTGCAGCTTGAAGCTGGGGGAGCTGCCGCTGCTGCTGCTGCTGCGGACGTTGCCTGGAAAATTGGCAGCCAAACGCGACTCACAACGAATGTGGGCCAATCTATCACTGATGGAGCAACAGCTCTTCCAGGCCGTACCATGAAGCAATCGCGTTCCCGTTCCCGTTTCAGTCGAGGCGTGTGAATAGAAACGTTAGCGCTGGCACGTTCTGGGTGCCCAGCCTGATAAAAGTTGATTGCAAATTTATAGAGGAGATCTGTGTGTGCGCGCCCACAGATTGGCCATAAATGTCATGTTCCCTGTACTCTCTGCCTATCTCTCTCCCTCTCGTTCTCTAGGTACCACCTAACAGCCAAGAGCGGGAACAACTTAAGCGCCCAGTTTGATTAGAATAGCAATCTATCTACTGCTTCATTTATCTATCTATCTATCAATTTATCTACACACACACACGCGTATGTCTTCAAAGTGTCATGGTAAAATATCAATGTGGTTTGTGAAACATGAAACTATAAACCAATCGATAACTCGATTCGATATATCGATAACATAATCGAGTTCATTACCACATATATCGATACTCATGTAACATTTGTAAATCTATGTGATTCGTTAGTTTCAAAGAAATATATATATATTTAGTTAAGTAGTTGCAAAATAAACGGTAGCTTTATCATCTCGATAGTCGATTGGCAGCAGTATCTAATGCATGCATTATCGATAACTTTGATTAACGCCCTAGTTTCAAAACCAGCCCAGAAATTCTATTATTTTTTAGATGCTATCTATCTTCTGTCCGTCAGTGCACGTAGATAAGCTACCTGTCAATTGTCAACACGAAAACAACTTCCGCAAGCACTCAATCATCTGACAGCTGCTGTAACATCAGCTTTAACGGCAGCCTTAGCATCAGCATTTGCCACGAAAGTGAAAACCGATTCAGGAATTGTCCAGTGACTACTCATCTAATTGAATTAATTAGCAGCAGCTATGCAAATGCGGCAACTTGTTGCACATTTATTTTACGATTTTTATTTGCCTTTAGATGGTTACTTACTTAACATGTTCGCCAAGTGTCAACACAAACACAAGTACCACAAATAACGTAAGCTTAACAGTCGCACATACATACATACATATTCACATGACTATTCACATGAGTATTCACATAAGCATTCACATATGCTGGCCCATTATTCTTTAAACTGCGCCGCAAGCAGCCGCAATCTGACTGATCTCGATCTAGAACTCTTATGGGCTATGCACTATCTGGAGAGTCCTTTGGCTTTGTCATGCTTAACGGATGAAAAAAGTTTTCTCATAAACTTATAGAGAAGAGCCAGTCCTCTAGCATAAATAAATGGCCCTGGAAAACATGGTCCATCAAACGCAACTGAAAGTAGGAAGCTGGTTCAAACCGAACGCAAACCAAGCCATTGTCTAATAATATTTTTTTTTCGATAGGTATTTCGTTTACCCAATTCGAGTTCAATCAAAATATGTTTTCCAAAAACATCTCTTGATTTTCATTTAATTCTTCGCCTCTGACGTTAATGTGTAAAGGGCATCTGAGCTTCGGCTTGCCTGGAACAAGCTGTGCATTCTTATGGCGGTTTGTTTGCACTCGTATTTCATTTTAGCAGCAGCAGCAGCGACGACGACGACGACGGCGAAGGCAACGCCAACACACTCCAAAGCTGCTGCCAAGTAGACCTTCAGACGCCAAACACTCCAACGCCATCCGAACAGCCAGCCAACGCGACAAGCGCAGTCAGCCAGTCAGCCAGTGGGACAGGTGGGACAGCTGGACGGGTGGGACAGTGGGACAAATAGACAGCGAGACAGTTGGACTGGCAACAGCCGACAGTTGGGCTTGCAATTGCGCACCTTTGAATGCGACTACAATTTTGATACGTACAACACCACAAAAAGCACCACACAGCACCACCGAGCACCACTGAGCAACACGCGGCAACACCACACACAGAGACCGCGCGGTCTTCCATCTTTATAAGTAGAAAATGGCATGCATTTAAATATTGGTAAGTCGACGCGTTAATGCCCTGCACAGTAAGGAGTTTGGCCTGACTGACTAAGAACTTATCAAAACGTAAGAGCGAGGGGCTGGAATTTCGACTGCAGCTACCTTTTGTGGCGATATACCACCTGGCTACAATTCTATCATATTTCTTAACAGAAAGCTTACAGAACGAGCCCTATGAGTAGAGCGGGGCGGAAAGTTTGGAGATGCAATCCCTTGTGAACAACGTGTTCCAATAATTATAATAATATACATTTGAGTCATACGTATTTCTTGAATAGTGCGGAACAGGAAGATAAGGGATGCATCCAATTGACGAATTTGACGATCGAACATCATGAAAATAAAGTATTTTAATATAGATCTTGATCTCTTGATCTTGACTGAAACAATTGATTTTAACCATATGTATATATGTGGCATGTGTTAATACGCCTAATCTACAGTTTTTATGTGAACTGCTTGATTTCGATAGATATATATATATATATATAAGTAGCTGAGAAAAAGCAGCCAAATCAAGTTCTAACCCTATAGACAGTCAGATTGGCAAGCCTTTAAGTATTCAACTTCCATGCACCCGTTACACACTTCACGCCTAAATTCGTATACCCGCATGGTAAGGGTATAGACATATAAGAAATATAGCCGCCATGTGTTTTGCAGCTCATTTGTTTATTCAGTGCTTGATTCATTCACCTGCGCTCGCAGCTCGCAGTTCGCAGTTCGCAGTTGGCCTCAAGTGCATTCAGGCAGCGAGTCGGCGGGTCGACCTGACTGTGGATATGTATGCATGTGACTTGCCGGATTGACACCTGACATGGCTGCAGAGCTGCACAGCTGATAGTCAGTCAAGTGGCCCGCAACTCAAATTGCCTTATCTCTAGGGGATAGCTACGGCTCCGAGCTGCGGCGGGTGAGTCTGCTCTAGTTGCTTGCAAATATATATAAGTGCATTTATATTAGATACGACTCGTGTCTATATAATTATATAAGGCCCGATTTGGTTGGCCTGTGCGCGAACACCAGTCGCAGCACTTGGCAGCGCAGGCGTTGAATTATTAGATTGAATAAACTTGTAGATGATTCATGCACTCATTTACTCACCCATCGATCGATCGATCTATCACACGATTTATGGCCATGTTGATAGGCAAATATCCGTTTTAGCTCTGCAACTAATCAAAATGTCGAAATGAGTACTTAAGGGTTACATTTTTTATCGATTGGTGTGTAATACATGTATCGATAAATCAATCGATTTGATGGCTTAACAAGATATAATTGCTTAATAGATATAGAAATAGATGAAGCTTGATATAGATATTAGCTATATAGATACAGATATATATACATATAGACATATAGATAGATAGACTGAGAGATATATAGATATATAGGCATATAGATATATATAGATATAAATAGATACATTAATATATAGGTATATATTTAATATAGATACATATATATATATAGGTTTATGTATATACAGGTTTATAGATATACCATATAGATTTCTAGCTTTATAGATGTATAGATATACAGATAATAGATATATATGTAGGTAGATAGATATAAATCGAATGCAGATTGACATTATAACTTTCTGTATTTTTATTGTATTCAGCATATGCGTACAAATCGAATGTTGGATATGGTTTAGTTTGCTTTATAAGTAAGTATATATGTTTCAATATAATCACACTAATACTACTATCAGTCTACGTATGCATAAGGGTTATATAATCATATATATGTGTACATATATGTGAGTGTTAAGAAAAGAAAAGTTGAAGGACTCTAACTGAGGTGGGCTCGAATAACTAAATAACTAAATCTAAAACTAGGCCAACTTCGTTTACAACCTGCGCATTTGCACTTTGAAATCATAGATATATAGTACATAAAGTTATAGATATATATTAGAAAATTGTCATAAATCATAAATATATTATAAACTTTCCACTCTCGCCGTCAATGACACAATCACAAAAATAGGTCGCCTAGCCGACCGAGGCGCTTATTAAATAATACCCATAAAGATTATGCATATAGTTTAAAACACATCACAAAAATGTTTGTTTTTTCTTTATCTTCTTCATTCTTCTTCTTGAAGTAGGTTTTGTGTATATAATAATATTTGTTGTCTACCATTTTTTTTTTTTTTATTACTTTTTTATATGCCTATTAATTGATTCATATGTGTGTGGTATATATGTCTATATATGCGAATCTTGCAAGTGGCCTCTACTTTGTTTTTCAACTATTATTAATATATTTATTCATTTGCGATCCGAGTCGCTTGTATATATTTGTATCTACTGATATTTTGGTCAGATCTCAAAATTCAAATTCGAATACGTGCACTCAACAAAAACTTGTTACCTACATTAAAAATTTGCCGCACTAAAAAAACTTTTCCAATTTCCAAAAGTGTACGTTCTTTAAAAAAAAAAATCAACCAAAAAAATACAATTTAAATTTTTAAGGAAAATAGAAAAAGTTTTCATGTAAGGCAAATTTTCAAAATTAGTAGCACATTTTTTTGAGTGTATAAGTATACAAGTGCATATATATATATACATATATATGATGTATATATGTGTGTGTGTGTGTATATATATGATATACTTTAGTTTCTTCTTCTTATTTCTTTCGGGGTGGGCTCAAATCATAGCTAAATTCTATTTGGACAGTCTCTCAAACAGTTGGATTCATATTTCTAAAAATGTTTTTGTCTATTTTTTCGCTGAAAAGTGGCTTCATCAAAAATCAAAAAAAGTCTTTCAAAAGGTGTTGTTGTTGTTGTTACTGTTGTTGTTGTTATTGGGGGGAACACTGTGGTCTATTGGTGGTACTCTACGTGCTGGTGCTGCATACTGCATCCATATCCGGCTTAGACCCGTCGATTGCTCTGCTCCTGCTGCAGATTCACATTGTTCATGACGGCGTTCATGTCCACGACGACAGCATCGTTCAACTGGCATTTGCCGGGCGATTCCAGCTCCGTTTGACCCTCGAGCAGGCCAACATGCAGTCCATTGGGCGTGCCAGCGGGCAGATCCTGCATTTGAATGCATCAAACATCAAAGGGTAGTGCGAATCACCTGAGTTACCTGATAATTGACAGCAGCGGCATCCAGAGCCATCAACTCCTTGCGGGACAGCTCCTCGACGACGGCGGCGGCATAGCAATCCCCGAGCATGTTGTTGGTGGTGCGAATGCGATCTCTGCAATTTCTGACCCTTTATATATCTACGCAAACACAGTAAAAACTCTGCCTAACGGACACAGCTGCCCTGCGGACTAGATCTCCAAGTTGTCTTTTATTTTCCCAGATTGATATTTGTAGATATTTTTTGGAGGTAGGTTCAAGCCCGCCAGATCAGTTAGCTTTGAGGCAGACAAAGGTACAGACAAACCTGGCTATGATGAACAGTTTACTTAAAATATAATCCTCTTCATATGGTTTATGGTATCAAAAATAGAAATTGCATAGAAACAGACAAAGGTACAAACAGGCCTGGCTATGACGAATAGCTTACTAATAAAATATGCTTCTATTAGAAATATCTCCCTCTCAGCGAAACACTGCCGTAAAATAAAAAATCATGCCTTTGCAGTGGAAACATGCTGGTACGTTCAAGGGAGTTTTCACTGTACGTGTCCTGATTCACCTAGTTTACTTACACAAACCAATCCACGGCGAAGAGCAGCGTCACATCCTGAACGGGTGCATCAATGGCGGTTAGGACAACTAGAAGCAGGACCAGAGCCGCGCTCGGTACGCTGGCCGAGCTCATGGAGGCCGCCGTGGAGGTGAGCAGGACGGTGAGGAGTTCGCCAAAGCCGAGTACCATGCCGCTCATCTGGGCTATAAAGATGGAGGCGACGGCTATGAAGAGAGCGGTGCCATCCATGTTGATGTTGCAGCCAATGGGCAGGACGAAGCGTGTGATGCGCGGATCGATGCGCAGCTTCTCGTTCATGCAGCGGAATGTGAGCGGCAAGGCGGCGGCGCTGCAGGCGTTGCCAGATCAATTGAAGTGCGTTTCGAGCGTGGTTTCAAATTCATTATCGATTGTGATTTAAATTCGATTGTGTTGGTTTTTTTTTTGGGAGTTTTATGAGTTTTCAAATCAAAAGAGTTTGTTTTTTTTTTTATAAAAGACAACGTATGGAAAATCAAATCGATTGGTAACCAAAAAGAAGGAAAAATACTTGTAACATGTTAAACGTTCGCATAACAACCAGAGAGAGTGAGAGAGAGGGGGGATTATATGTCTCCACAAAGAGAGAGCGAGAGAAAGAGAAAGAGAGCATAGATTTTAATGGCTTACGTTGATGCGGTGGCAAATGCGGTTAGCATGGCCTCAATGAGGCCCGCGTAGAACTTGAAGGGATTGCGTCGCACGAAAACAAAGTAGATGAACTGCATCACAATGAACTGGTAGATCACCACACCGATGGCCACAGTTATGATGAACCAAACGAGCTGCGCCATCACCAGACTCAGATTATCTACACTCAGTATTTTGCCAGCGATGACCGAACTGATGCCCACCGGTGTCAGCCACATGACGCACGTCACCATTTTCATGATCACCTCGAAGACGGCCGCAAAGAAGTCCACAACGACCTGACCCTTCTGCCCGATGGTGCCCAGTACGGTGCCAAACACAAGACAAAAGAACACAATGCCCAAAGTATTTGTGCCGCTGCGATATTGTACGTCCCGCACCAGCACCACCTCCTCCAGTTCCGGCAGCTGTCTTTGCGCCTCCACGCCATGCAACAGCGCCGCAGCCGTATCATTTGTCACCGTTTCATTCGGGCTGTGGACCACGCTCGGCTTGGGCAAGTAGACGGTGTGCGCCTGCTGTATCGATGCCTGGAATAGGTTGTCCGGAAATACGTTTCTGCAAGCATTCAAAATATTCACAGTCTGTAACGGACGCCGCGAGAAGTTAACAGTCGTGTAAGCGGTGTAAGCTATCAGTACATCAAGCAGTTAACGAGCAGTGAAGTTGTAGCAGTTATCTTAAAAGGTAATAAGCCGTGCTACTTATCAGAGTGAAGCAGTTTGTGCTGGCACGCAGCGTAAAAATAAGCAGTGTAGCTTGGCATATCATGCAGTTTTCCTTAACTGTTTTTCAACAGTTCACAGTGCGTTAAATCATTTATATATAGATATTTTGCGGCTAAAGACCACTTTACCATTCAAAAAGAAATTTCTTGTCATTATCACATAAAAAAGCATAGGTCATTTTAGTTCATTCTTAAGGTAACAAATTGGTTAATAAATTAAAAAAATAAACAAATGCTTTAAAGATCTAACGGACTGAATCTATGTGCATAAGAGAGGTATTACCAAATATAAATAAGAAATAGCTTATAAAGAATAAGCAACAGAAAAATATAAAAGAGCTTCAAAATATATCTTTGTAACTAAAACGTACTAAAATCAGTGAGTGGACCCGAAACTTCCATTAACAACTGTTTGGTTCTGTAAACTACGATAAGCAGTGCACAGACGACTACGTGCAAGCAGTCCAATATAGCGCGTTTCGCGCGCGTTTTTATGTTTTCGCTCACCTGCCCAAATCCAAGAGGCTATCCAACAATTTGACCGCCCGCCTGTCCGACGCATGATCGTCCGCACTGTGCAAATCCGGATTACCCGGATGGATAAGCAGCACCAGAGCAATGCCCAGCGCCGCGTTGAACAGCGAGGTGCTGGCAAAATAGAAGAGCGTGCGCAGCGCAATTTTGCCATTCATCTTGGCATTCAAGCTGGCCGAGCCGGCAATCAGGCTGGAGATTACCAACGGCAGAATCATTAGCTTCAGCACGCGCATGAACAGCTCGCCCGGATACGAGATCAGCATGATAGAGTCCTCGTGCAGATGCAGCGGACGCAACGAGAGGCCTGCGCAAAACAAGAGAGAAAAGGAAAAATTTAGGCAGAGAAAAGAGCAAGAATTTCAATCAAAATGCAGTCAAGGTCGTAAATTCTTAAACTGAGTTCATTTTGCTCTTAGTTCAAGCATTTTGTTTTAAGTCCTCAACTCAAAAATGCGAGCCTCAAATATTTAAAACTTTTACGCGTAGTTTGATTGTGCGAGTTATAGTTAAAAGCAGTTTCTGCTTAAACCAAGCAGTGCCTTATACTCTGTTCATAAAGTCCGAAACAGCATATTGGTTTTATGCACAGCATACGAATTTTTAGCTTAACATCTTGCAAATGGAGTTCAGCGTTTTGCTAGGATTCTGTTTGGGATTATGTGAGCAGAATAGTTGATACCTAATCTAAGAATATTTATGAAGTTGATTTAAGGATAGCTCAATCTTAATTTAAATTTATAAATGTGAGGACATTCACGCAAGATTTTAGTTGGGAGCTGTTTCGGTAGAGTATATCTAAGTCGAAGTCTAAGTAAGTCAGCCAGTTGGGCCATTTGAGGTCTACTCACCCAGAATGACGCCCAGCATGACGCCGGAGAGCGTGACGAGGAGCATGAGATTATCGCAGAGCCATTTGCGATATCCGGTCAACTCGATGGGGGCATCGCTGCGCTCCGTGGTCTTCGGTGGCAGCTCGGTGCCGTGCACGGCTGCCGTCATATTCGATGGACCCATTTTGGTGAAGAGGTAATCTGAAAATTTCTCAGACTTTTCCATTGTACGCGCGGCCGTCGGACAAATAAAACAGAAGAGCCAAAACTTGCAGCAAAAGCAACAACAACAACAACAACAACGAGAACGGGAACAAGAACAAGCAATGCGAGCGAGACAGCTAGAGTTATGTGTTGAGCGGAACGGAGCGTGTGTCCCTTTTAGCGAGGGCTCACTTTAGAATATTAATATTGCTGGGTTGATGGGCTGTCTCCACAATTGACAGACTCTGTGCGCAAATTATTGATTTTTTAAGTACTTCACATTGAACTTGAGTATGTTAATTAGGTAAGCCATTTGGTTGACTTCAGCTCCAACTCCGACTCCCACTTGGCTTGCCACGCCCACTGCCGCTACTCCTATCGATGTGGCGTCGTCTTTTTCAGCGTCAACGTGCGCGTTTTACTGTTAGCGGCGTCTCGGACAGCGCCTAACACCAAGTCTCGCTCGTTGAATGGCTCCGTTGTTGTGGCTTTCTGTGCGGCCGCTTCCCCTAGAATTGGAGCAACTGCGTCCCGCTGGCCGGGCGTATGTGACGGCTTGTTGCACCTGCCGCACCGCTCGAAATAATCGATAATGCTACTGCTGCAGCTGCTGTGGCTGTGGCAATGAGGCTCACTCGGAATCTGTGTCACACTGCCGGACACTGCGCCTGGCTGCACTCACTCCACCAAGGAACAACCACGGAGACGGAGACGGAGACGCTGACTTTGACGGCGGACAATGTCTCACTTTCTTTGAATTGGCCTTTGGCTGCACTCTCCTCTCGAGCTGCACTTCTTTTGCTTTCGTTTTCACTGTGCACTTTGATTCGCTTATTTTTTTATTTTATTTTTATTTTTTTTGTTGAGTTGCGTCTGCTTCTATTTCCACTTCCGTTTCCGTTTGATGCGCTGCTCGAACCGTCGACTTGAAGCTTGCTCCTGTGAATGCGCTTCTCTCGGCCTGTCGCACGCTTTTATGCTGCGTCGTCCTCGCAGAGAGCGCGAAGTTTCGTTTGCCATAATCTGCCCTCGAGAGCGCCACTCTCCTCCTTTCTCCCTCGCTCTTTCTCTCTCTCTCTCTCTCTCTCTCTCTCTCTCTCTCGCTCACTCATTATGGCATCAAATGCCGGCAAGTCGAAGTGGAGCACAGGCGACACACGTTTGCAGCTCGTTTGATTGACGCTCATAATTATCTTGAAGCGGAAAATTCCAAACGGACTCACGACTTAAATTGATTAGCTTAGAACTGACGCACCTTGAGCACCACCCCGCCCACCGCCGCCTCCACACGATAAAATTGTTATCCTTGCTTCTAGGCAACTCTTGATTTTCTACCTCAACGCGAAGCTTACTCAATTTAATCGCCTTTTTATGGCCTTGTAGAGAGTTTTATCACTTTGTTACGAAACGTGTGACGCTTTCAAGGAGACACTTAACAGTTAACAATAAGCTTATTAAATACCAATTATTAGCTTAAGTATTTATATAACTCCTCTCCTTAGGGGCTGGACCTTAAATTGATTAAATTTGTTGTATGAAGCCAAAAGTTTATTCAAGGAACCCAATTCAGGAACCCATTTGAATAGAGAATAAATAAGAAAACCATCTAAACAAGGTTCCTGAACCCTAAGTTGAATGTCTACAGGAATATTAAGTCTTCAGCGTGTCGAAGATATCCTAACTTCCCATATTTTTGGTTTTAAAACGAATTGCTTTAAGCCTGGATTTAAACGGTTTTTTTAAGCAAACTATAAAATGATCCTTAAGCCGAAATTATTAACTTTTAATTATCTGATTTATATGGAATGGAATGCAAAATAGACCAGCTTTATAGATGTGAAAGGCCAGTCTCAAACCTTGAACTTAAACGAAAAATGCTCTTTTCGGCCTCTGCCGACTTTCATCAAAGACTCAACACACCGATCCTTAGCCATATATTACTTAGGAAGCGAACCTTAAGTCAGAGATGTGCCCTACTGCAAGGGTATTAGAAATGCAGGCAAACCCAAAGCTCAACTGTCTCTGATTGTTAATGGTTTCTAATGAGCCGCCTGTTGTTGGGGGCTGTGGTGCAGTTGTTTGGTTGTCTTGCGGCAAAGGTCACAGCCATCGATCCATTGCAGCGGCTCCTGTCAAGCTGTCATTTCTCAAATCATGTGCTCAGCCGTCGCGGAGCTGTTGTCTCTGCTGGTCATATTAACGTTTGGGCAGACATCCAACAGAATAGGGCACAAATGTGCTTGCATATATATATATATATATTTAACTTGCGGCCTGTCCCAGCAGCGGCTCGCATCGATCCGTTTGAATTTGTCGTTGTGGCCTAAATTTACCGAAGCACCATGTGCCAACTACATAGATGACGAACGTCTGCAACTAGCTGACACGCCCGTCCCTTCGATCCTCTGGCAAATAATTAAGATAATTGCGCGATATGTGTGCTGTCGCATATCCACCGCAGCCATCGGCTGTCCGCTTCGCTTTGATATACATTTTGTACGCTGTCAGTGGCGATTTATTATGATGTGCATCCATATCTATATATATATATATATAGAAATATATAGATATACATTTATATGTATATGTATATTTATGTTGTGTGCCACGAACTTGAACTTGAACCTGACATTGAGCAGGCGCCCTGCGTTCGCGTTTAATCGAATGTGCCAACATTTTTCAAATAGAGCCCAAAATGTTTGCCAATTCAATTAAGTTGTGCGCTCATCTTTAATTCGAGTATATTTCTCGTTGGCCCTCTCGAAGGTCATTTGGGATTCCCCCGCTCAGGTGTGAGCTGGCGTGTGTGCCATTTAATGATTACCTTCGAGTCGTAGTCGTGGTTTTTGCTGCTTCGAACACGGTGTTAATGTCCACAACTCTTATCTCTCGCTGTCTCGTCGATCGCAGACACTAGCCTACAAAATATGGGCTCAACTGCCAGTTGCCTCTGATGTTAACTCAAAAATGCGTAGTACAAAAATTTGATAAAATATTTCATATTTAATTAAATTAAAATATTTTCCATTTTGCAATATTCTTTTCATGTTTTCATTTTATTTTAAGTTTGATGTGGGCATATCAATCTGCTCAGGAAAGAAGAAAGTTTTTCTAACCCTTTGCTTCTCATATATAAAAATCTTATAAAAATCGGACAATTTTATCATATGGCTGTCAGAGGAACTATCGAAGAACTGTCGAAAACTAAGTTCTTGTTTTGTCTTGACTTAACTCGGCATTTATTATTTTCTCATATATACAAAATCTAATCAGCATCAGACCCCTATACCCTATAGCTTAGCTTTATAACTATATCTTATTTAGAAATATCATTACTTCCTCGTTTTAAACACAAATTGTATTCCAATTTATTAGCTTACTTCCATCTGTCTCTTTATCAACTTATAAAATACTAATATATGTCCTCAGCATGTCAAAAACATTTTATGTACGTCCTTTAAATTGTGAGAAATGCAAATCGCATTTAATTTGTATGTATAAGTTGGCTTTAAAGAAGAAAGACTGGACCGAATATAAAACATATTGAAAAAAATGTTTAAAAAAATGTATTTTTGAAGTTAAGCACTTTTGACTACAAATATAAATGAGCCTTAAATAACGAGCCGTCAAATAATGTTTGTGTTTTTACTAACTGAGTTGTTGCCTTGACGCTTGACTTAAAATTTCCAACAAGCTTAAGCTTCGAAATGGAGACAAGACAAGGAGACGCTTGCAAGCCTAGAATAAGAAATGAGAACCAGAAGGTTCTTGAAATAGTTCTGGTGCTCATATTTTCTTGTTGACCTTGAGCAGGCCAGCTGCATAAAAACTTAACGATAATTGCATTTGAGTAAATTATATTTGCCAGACTTTGCGAATGCCTTCAATGAAATGCTCAGCTTGAAGTTGACTGTGCTTGTTAACCATAAAAATGAGGAAAGAAATTAACAAAGTGGGATTTTTTTAAAGAAATAATAATAAAACAGAAAACAGAAAACCAAACAACATTTGAAAATTGTATTTTTAATTATACAGAAAAGTTTGTTTCTTTCTGTGTCGCATTTTCGTGTAAGAAATTTATATTTCAGCTGCCTGGCATTCGAAATATTCTGTGGACATGTGTTATTTTTAATGAGCTTTTAATAACTATATTTGGACATATAATTTGTTGCTTTTGCTGCGCGGCTCTGTTGACATTTGATGGGCTTGTCGCCGGACTTACCTCTAATAATAAGCCACAAGTTACCCAGGTTTATGCTGGTTTCTAACACTTTGCACTCGACACTTTGGCGCCTTGGCAGCAGCTTTCACTTTCCACTTTTTACTTTTCGCTTGCGACTTTAGCTCTCACTTTTAATTAATTTGTCGTTGCCTCGGGGCGTATGCTTAACGTTTGTGCCAATGCAGTCACCTGGTGGAACTTTCGCAGCAGCTTGAGCTGCCGTTGCATCAACAGTTGCAGTATGCGTTGCACCGCTGTAGCCGTTTTAGTGGTTTTTTACCTTCAAACTGCCGGCTGAACGGGTGGTTTAGGTGGTGCAAGGTCGAGTTTAACTGCGGCCCCTTTTACCTCTGACACCTGTGTGCCGCAAATTCAATTAGGTCAGGCCAGGGAAGAGAGAGAGAGAGAAGGTAGCCAGAGCAACGCAATCGCGATGCAATAACTAAAGCCCACCACAACAAAGGGCTTAAGATTTTCCTTCCTTTTTTTTGTTGCGTTTGCTATGCTCTGTGCACCTGCTCGCTGTCTCTGGGAATTATAAGTTACGTGTCGGCTATATATATATATATATATATATATATTATATATAACTGAAACTTCCGGCGGTTTTTACCTAAACACGGAAAAGCGCGCCGAAACTGAGGAACCGCTCGAAATGGAAACGTTTTGTAAACTGCGTCAAAAATTGCGCAGGGATCGCGTTTTAACCAGACGATCGTTAATATATAGATTAGTACTATATATATGTATATTTGTGTGTATATATATATCTACCGCAGACACTTGCCAACTGTTTAACAACTGCGATTTGTTTGCTGGCTCGGAGACGCGTCAGTTGGGCTCGGCTATTGAACGAGAAGTGAGCGATAATGCTTTTCTTTTAGGCAGCTGCACAAATTGAACAAGAAATAGGCGCAAAAACAAAACAAAAAAAAATTGTATTCTACATTTCTTTGGCTTTGTTTTGGTCACACACACACACACATGTCGGAGAATTTACATATGTAGCCTTTATGCCCAAGCAATGGGGTACTATAATTTTGTCACGGAATGTGTGACGCATTCGAAGGTGGGTTCTTATGATGCCATTTGCTATATATATAAATATATATTTATATGTGTTCCTGAATAGGGGAAGAGCTGCCTTAATTGTGCGAAACAAGCCGATTTGTTGCCGTCTAAACGTGTGCCTTTGTTTTTAATTGAATTATGTTTATATTTAAATAGTCTAGTTGAATCAGTGAATGGGACGTTTAGGGATCTAGATTATTATATATAATTCTGTTTAATTATTTCTCTGTTTACATACTTTTATATTTAGTTAAGAAATCAAGTTCCCATGAAGAAAAAATAAGTCTTAATAGTCTATAGTCTCTTATTAAATTCTTTTCTGAAACGTGGAGAAAATGAAAAGGAAGTCTTCCCTAAGCTACTTACAATGTATCTATTGCTATGTTGAATCTACAGCAATATCGATATAATAATCGATTGGAGCAGAAACTTGTCGAATCTTTAAAACGGAAAATTGAAAGTAAAGAAAACACTCCGAATAAGTGCATTTTTACAGGATCCGCAAACCTTGTGTAATGTATTCACTGTTCGGTTTCTTGAACATAGATTCATTCTACTTATTTTCATTTTAAAATTCCCGCAAGGGTTAATGCTTGACAACGGTGCAAGGGGTGCAAGGGGGAGGGTGGGTGGTTGGACGTAAATGGGTAATGACGTGCACGCGAATAACGTCAAAGAGTCCACAAACAATGCATTTGACAGCCTCTAAAACTAGACGTATGCCTATGCTTAGATAGCCAAAACAAGTGACAATTGCTTCGACACACTTTAAGATTATGAAGAGAATCTTCTGGCGAGGCGAAAAATGAACAACCCCAGCAAAAGGTGACGATCAAGCAAAAATTACAGTAGAAATATATATATATATGAAAGTATCCACACGAGATCGTATGACGCTATAATTTCCATTAGTTGCAATTTATGCAAAACAAATTGAAATTGTTTTTCCACAGCGCTCATTGAGTCGACTTCAAGTGGAAAATTGTGTCCAAAAGGTGTGAGAATAATGATGATAAATGGGTTTGGCCGCCATAACGCATACGCCCCCCCGTCCACCCGCGTCGCATAATAGAGAAAACAAATAAATGATTTAGCTCTTTCGTAATACGCATTACACTCTTTTCGCAACAGAAGGCAAACGAAAACTAGAATTATACTCTATAATGAGTTGTTGTGTTCACTAGTCAAAGTGCGACAGTTATTATTGTATTATAATTCATGTAGAAGACTGAAGGAGAAGCAAGAGTCAAGTTTATTGACTCTAGCTCTAAAACCAAGAGATTTGCTCAAGAAACAGAATTTCGATAACGATTTATCGATTGCTTGGAAACGGGGCAAGCTATTGATTATCGGTAACAAACTCGTACTGCGCATGCAATAGGAGGACCTACGTTCAAAATATCAAGTCTCTAGCCGTTATAAATTCTGAGATTCTTGTGCTTATACATACGGACGGACGGACGGATAGGTGGACATTGCTAGATCTAATATATATACCCTATCCGGTCAAAGATGCAAACCAAAAGAAAGCTTTTGTATCATATTTAAGCTTCTTAGTTCTATTGACTTGGGCTGTGCGTGTAATTAAGTTAGTCAGAACAAAGTCTTTTATTTGCTAAGATGTAATAACCCTCAATTTTAATAGCTCTCTAGCACTTAATACTAATAAATTTAACATAGATTATGCAATTTATAAAAGCCAAGCACCTGTCAGAAACAATACTCTTTTCCCAATTGTCTTACGTCAGCTTTTATACTGTTTGCAGTGTATCTACAGGTGTGACATGTCCTACTGCGCTCTTCCTAGTTATTTGCATTTGTCATTATAATTATTAGGCATATATTATATGCATATTAGAGCAAGGCGGCCAGCTGACAACCCCCCAAAGCGGAGGGGTGCGCCGACAGATTATAAAAATAAATCAGCCAGCTCACTGAGAAAGAGAAAGCGAGACCGAGAGAGTGAGCAAGAGAGAGTAGGAGTGTGTGTGAGAGGGAGAGAGTAAGAAAGAGAGAGAGAGAGAGAGAGAGAGAGAGATAGTATGGTTGCATCGGTCAATTTGCATAAGTTATGAGCACGCAAATTGCGTGATGGGTCCTAAAATAAATTAGTAAGCAAACCAGGTAGACCAGCGACCAGATAGTCCGACTAACTAGTCAGTTTGTTGTTAAACAGTTGGGCGATTTAAAAGGTTGGCTGACTTGCATAAGAGCCAACAGCCATTAAAAGCCAATTAGGGGTCAGTTCTAAAAATTGCACTCCAACGCAGCGAACAAAGTCACGCGCAGCTGGCGCATACCCAAGTTGATGGAGCCGGGCGGGGGAAACGGCTGGCGCTGCACCTGACCCACTCAGCGCACGTTGTTGCGCTCTGTGACTGCCCCCTACCCCCCTCCTTTTTTTCGATACCCTGTACTCATAGAAAATGATAAGATGAATTTGATTGGTTGCTAAGTTATATAATAGACAGAAGGCGCTCGGAAGGTATCTATAGAGATGTACTGTACTCTGTGTATGCCCTATAAATGGTTATAGTTGCCTGGGTAGGTATACAAACAGTAAAATAATCAAATTCTCTATACACTGTACAGGAAGACATATACCAAGTCTGAAATATAAAGCTCTTATAGTTCTCGAGCTACGCTTACAAAACTAATTCTCAAAATCGATATTTGTGAATATTACGAAAATGAAGCAAGATATCGAAAAAAAAAGGATAAACTCGTTTTGCATTTGATGTCTAGGTCTTGAGCTTAAGAGGTAGATAGGGCGATGGAATCGAGGGATGCATAGAAAAAACTTATTTAGAAAGGCATAGCCTTAATTTTATGTATGTATATAGACCTGAAAGGTATTTTTATTATGTAAAAGTTTTACAACGATTGAACCATAAACAATAACGTAGTTCAGGAATGAACTAAGGAGAATCTTAAAATGGCGAGAATGTCTAGCCTGCTTACAGGATATTTGCTAGCTTAAAACTCTGTTTTAACGCAATCTTCGTTTTGGGGAAGAAAAACCAAAAAGTAAGCAAATAAGGAATACAGAAATAGGCTTAAAAGCGCGTCAACATCCATCGTGGTTACAGAGTATATGCTAGTCGAGCACACTGTGCACTAAAGCACTCTTCGTTTTAGTTGTTTTTTTTTGAGTTTATTCACAATGAGCGCACGCAAGAGGCGGCGCGCTGAGCCGAGCAGTACAATGACACCGAGCAGCTGTCTTTGTTTACGACCCATCTCTTTCTAGCCCTGAGACGGACAATCAAAAGGCCGAGCGGGCAACGCCGAGTGGCCCGCCGAGTGGCGTCCATTCAGTTTCAGTTTTGGCATCGTTTTGTTTACGATGCATCCCTTTCGCACCTGCTGCAGCGGGCGCTCTCGCTCTCGCACATGCGCAATGCCCTGGCCGCCTTCTTATGGCAAAAAGCTGCGCCCAATTGTTTATGGCGAACATTTACCGTTTGTTATAGCAGCTGTTAGCCATAAATTTTGGGTGTTTGTCCCTGATAGCCCGAAAGCTGTGCACAGCACAGGGCGATTTGTGTAGGGACCAGGCAACAGCTGTGCTTTGTTTACAGCCGGCGCGAGAGAGACAATGAGAGAGAGAGAGAGCGCGACTGCTGCGTTGAAAGCGCCCAAATTGAAAGCGGGCCCGGTTCAATGGGATGCTGGAGCGGGCCTATAAAAGCAGCCAGCACAGCGCCAGGCAGCAGCAGTGCGCGTTTTTCCGGCGGCGGCAAATTTCCTAAACTAACTAATCGGCATTAAGACACTTTTGGCCTTTATCTAAACCAAATCAAGTGCGAGAGTGCGTAACCAAATCAACGCCAATGCTAAAGCCAAACACAAGCGTCAATCAATGCGCCAATCGAGTTAAAACTGCAGCAGCAGCCCCTGCCCGCCTCTTCCATTTCCGACCCCCACGCCCAAATCCAATCAGCCTCCATTTGTTGGCCAACAACATTCAGCGCATACATTTCGATTGTGGCCCAAAAGAGAAAACCGTTTTGCCTGCTCGCTAATTTAATAAAACGCGGATCGGGCAAAACAACAAAAACGAAAAAAAAAAAAAAAAAAAAATAAATGAATAAGCCATGGAATCAAATTTTATCAAGCATTTTATGCAATTAGCAAGAAAAGCGCCCAACAACAAATACGCGAAATTCTCCAAGGGGAAAAAAACGCCTCATAATTAATGCTAACAAATATTTAAAAGTTTTCTTTTTTGTTAGCTGCTTTATAACATTGTGATAATATATGTTAATACGTGTTAGACTTGGAAAAAGAGAACCCTTAAAGCTAAATTTACTCTGTTAGCGGGCAGCCATATGGCCTATGTGAACTAAGCTGGGAATAAAGCTAGCTGATTAAAACTGTGTGCAGTTATTTATTTATTTAATCTGCGGATGGTGTATACTATATAACTGATCAGTAGGTATTACTATATCACATAGCTTTCGTAGAAACAACGCTTGGAAATGTAAAAGAAAATAGCCAGGAAATTTCATTAAAGCGTAATTTTGTTTTTAAGAAATAGAATCGAATTTAAGCAATCTTGGGAAAATTGTTTTTTCTTTGACTGTTGAATGTTATTCCACACTGACAACCGTCAAAATCAATTTGGTTTTTACTTCAAACATTCAAAAATTTACTCTTGGTAAAAACAA